TTTGCCGGGGGAGATGTGCTCTTATTTTTTGAATTTCCAGCTTTTCTGCCCTGCTTTTTCCCCATCTTTGTGGTTTTATCTGCCTCTGGTCTTTGATGATGGTCATGTACTGATGGGGTTTTGGTGTAGGTGTCCTTCCTGTTTGATAGTTTTCCTTCTAACAGTCAGGACCCTCAGCTGTAGGTCTGTTGGAGATTGCTTGAGGTCCACTCCAGACCCTGTTTGCCTGGGTATCAGCAGCAGAGGCTGCAGAAGATAGAATATTTCTGAACAGCGAGTGTCCCTGTCTGATTCTTGCTTTGGAAGCTTCCTCTCAGGGGTGTACTCCACCCTGTGAGGTGTGGGGTGTCAGACTGCCCCTAGTGGGGGATGTCTCCCAGTTAGGCTACTCAGGGGTCAGGGACCCACTTGAGCAGGGAGTCTGTCCCTTCTCAGATCTCAACCTCCGTGTTGGGAGATCCACTGCTCTCTTCAAAGCTGTCAGACAGAGTCGTTTGCGTCTGCAGAGGTTTGGGCTGCGTTTGTTATTGCCCTGTCCCCAGAGGTGGAGTCTACAGAGACAGGCAGGTTTCCTTGAGCTGCTGTGAGCTCCACCCAGTTCGAGCTTCCCAGCAGCTTTGTTTACCTACTTAAGCCTCAGCAATGGCGGGCGCCCCTCCCCCAGCCTCGCTGCTGCCTTGCCGGTAGATCACAGACTGCTGTGCTAGCAATGAGGGAGGCTCCGTGGGTGTGGGACCCTCCCGGCCAGGTGTGGGATATGATCTCCTGGTGTGCCTGTTTGCTTAAAGCGCAGTATTGGGGTGGGAGTTACCCGATTTTCCAGGTGTTGTGTGTCTCAGTTCCCCTGGCTAGGAAAAGGGATTCCCTTCCCCCTTGCGCTTCCCAGGTGAGGCAATGCCTCGCCCTGCTTCAGCTCTCGCTGGTCGGGCTGCAGCAGCTGACCAGCACCGATCGTCCGGCACTCCCCAGTGAGATGAACCCAGTACCTCAGTTGAAAATGCAGAAATCACCGGTCTTCTGTGTCGCTCGCGCTGGGAGTTGGAGACTGGAGCTGTTCCTATTTGGCCATCTTGCTCCGCCCTCGAAAAAAACATATATTATTTGATTGTGTTGGAACCGTTTTAATTGAGAGAAGAAAATCAAGGCTCAAGAAAAATATAAATTGGCCAGGTTCTGTTTTGCCAGACTTAGTAATGTTTTAATTCTATTTTTTCAAAAGAAAATACCATTTTCACCATGTCCAAAACTAGGTGATCTTCCTTCTCCCCCTGCAAACCTAATTCCCTCTGCCATTCCCCATCTTGGTGATTAGTGTTACTATCTGCCCAGTTGCTGAAACTAGAAACTCAAGAGTCATGCTAGATTACTCCTTCTCTTCCCCTCACTGCATCCAGTTTATTCTCCAGCATCTATGTGGTTCTAAGTGTCTCCCATGTCTGTTCAAATTGGAATCAGCATCCTACTTAGCACAGAGTCTTTTCTCATCCCCACATCTTTGACTTGCTCTCCCCTTTAATTCCTTAGGAAACTTGTTTCCAGTCATCTTCCCTATAATTCAAATCTTCTCATGTTCCTCTCTAGCTCAAAGTTCCTGAATGACTAGCCATCACCTATGGAGGAAAATCTAATCTAGTTTGCATTGCCAACAGAGACAGCCCTACAGAATCTGGCCCTGACTTCTGCTTGGCTTCACCTCTTGCCATTTTCCTCCTTCCGGCCTTGTAATTCCCTGAACAAGCCTGTTTTCTCAAACTCATTTGCCTTGGCTCCTGCTGCTAAAGTTGTATTGCTACTGGGCGCATCCTGCTCCCTCTTACTCAACTTTCAAGCCTCCGTTGAAACACTACCTTCTCTATAAAGCTTTCCTTGATCCTCCAGATAGATAACAAAGCCTTCTGTCCTAGGCATTCATTGCATTTAGTACTTATTTCTAGTATCACAATCTCTGTGTTTTATGGATTGCTTGTGTTCTTCCTACCTGAAGGTTAACTCTGAGGACAAGGATTGTGTTGTCATCTTAATAGTCCCAAGCCTACCACAGAGCTTAGCATCTCATCTGTGCTTATTAAATATTGTTTGAATTAATTAACCAGGAGGACTTAGTAAATAAGAACAAAATGTCCCTTCTAGGAATTAGTTGATTTCAGTCATAAGCTATAGTTCACAGGCTGGGAAACTCTAGCCCGCCAGCCAAAACCAGCCTGCTGTTTTTGTAAATAAAGTTTTATTGGAATATGGCCACACTCACTAATTTATCAATTATATGTGGCTGCTTTCATGCCACCAAGCGAGAGTTGAGTAGTTGTAACAGAGATCACATGGCTCACAAAGCCTGATATATTTTCTATGTGATCTTTACAGAAAAAGATTGTCAAACCCCTACTACAGATAATTAAGCCCATTGGAGGTCACATCTTTAAACGCTTTTAAAGAATTGGTATGTAATTCTGCTTTGACACTTCAAATAGCAATCAGCTCCCTTAGGTACCTAAGCTTCGTATCTAAAATTTATAAACTCATCTGGGGACTTTCTATCTGGGAGAAAATAATAATAAAAAAAATTCCCCAATAGTGTTCCTTGTGCTCTAAGCTTAGAGTGTGAGTGAGGGTTACACCCAAGGCCTGAGTCCCCAACCGTAATATCTACATGTCCTATTTATTCTTAGACTGGTTATACCAAAAGAAAAAAAAAGAAAAAAGAAAGAAAAAATTCAAAATACACTAGCCCCAGAAGAATTTTCTTCTGTTCACTGAATGTGACTGCAGCCTCCTCACTTTGACTAGATTTGCTCACTCACTCCTCTCCTCACATGCCCTCCTGCATCACCCTCCCTGAGCTCCTCCTGGGTTCCTGCTAGTCTTCATCATTATCCACTGGATGTAATTCATACATGTCAAGGCAAAGAAACTAAAAGCCATAACTTCTTTTAGCACTTGCTCAAATTTTACCTTCTCAGTGATGTCTTTCCTGACTGCTGTCTCTAAAACTGCAAATTCCTTTCTTTTACTTCCCCTTTGCCTTTTTCTTCTCCCTAACAGTTATCATTATTTAACACACCATTCTTTTTACTTACCCCGTTCATTTGCTGCCCCTACCAGAGTATAATGTACTCATATATTAAATGAATGAATGAAATCCCAGATAAATGGAAAATATCAAGGAATTAACATAGTGCCATTGACTTTTGGAATGAATACACTAGGCAGGAATTTGCTACCAGTGTGAAACAAAGTGCTATGGCACTTTGTTGCTGGGACCAGTCTTTCTGTCTCCCTTCTTTAAGGTGAGTGACTTCTTTTTTTTTTTTTTTTTTTTTTAAGACAGAGTTTTGCTCTTGTTGCCCAGGCTGGAATGCAGTGGTGCAGTCTTGGCTCACTGCAACCTCTGCCTCCCAGGTTGAAGCAATTCTCCTGCCTCGGCCTCCCAAGTAGCTGGGACTACAGGCATGCACCACCATGCCCGGTTAATTTTGTATTTTTAGTAGAGACTGGGTTTTGCCATGTTGGCCAGGCTGGTCTCAAACTCCTGACCTCAAGTGATCCACCCACCTCAGCCTCCCAAAGTGCTGGGATTACAGGCATGAGCCACCGCGCCCAGGCGAGTGACTTCTTTAAGATGGTGAAGTCTTATGGGATTCTGTAAGTGTTCCGTTTATTGCAATGAGTCCCTGCGTGTGCCAGCACCTCTCCTTCCCCAATAGAACTTTTCTTTTCTTGATCATTGAGCAACAGCAGCTGCCTCTTCAAATCTGTTGCAGCATGACTTATATATGAGATTCACAGGAAGTCTTCTTTAGTAAGGAGACACTGGGCTTCAGAGGATTGTAAAGTACTTTTTCTTTGGGCATGACTTTCCCACTGTCTGCACTGAGGGTGGAGCCATTCACCCTCAGTAGGCTGCAAGGGTGTGCATGTGTACACATGAGTACACTTTTAAGATTGTGGGAATCTTTGACTCTTTGATGTGGAGTATTTTAGCATCAAATGTCTCTATAAATACTAAACATCTTCCTATTGATCATATCTCTAAGCTTATTGTGTTCAAAATAACTCATGAGAGTATATAAATAGAACCTCAATGGTTACAATATTAGCATAGAGTTTAAAGCCCTACATTCTTAGCTTGAGTCCTCATTCCAAATCTTGTAAGTTTTATGATTTGGGGAGAATTACTTAACCTCCTCAAGCCTCAGTTTCATCATCTATATTATATTACTATATGTATAGATACTATATGTCACTATACTATTCATGTAATATACCATAAGTATAAACTTTACTATCTATTATATTGTCATATACTAGATTATATTATTAAATTTTATATGAGATAGGTAAAAAAATGTTAACCACTTCATAAGGTTGTTGGAGGGATTAACTAAAAAGCCCTTGACAATAGTTAACAGCAATACATAATCTCAAATAGCTAGAAGGAGGATATTGAATGTTAGCAACCAAAGAAATAATAAATGTTTGAGATTAGTTACTAATTACTAGAAATACATATCTAATAACCATATGTATAGAAATATCACCATGTGCCACATGAATATGTACCATTTTTATTTGCCAATTTTTAAAAATGCCCGTGGTGCAGTCACTGGCACACAGCAGGCTCTCAATACACACTCATCCCCCTATATCTGATGTGCATGATGGCAATTAGCAGCAGCACAGTATTTCACAAAAGTTAAAAGTTCCCGTGTGTTCCCATAAAAAGGAAGAAGTAGGACCCTCACAGTATCTTTCTACATATTTTCCTTAGGCCTATATGCATAATAAGATGAGATCATGTGACCCAGCAGATACTTGAGATTTTGACATTTGCAATTAACTGAGAAAATCCACAGTGAAATAAAAGAGGATTTGACTTTGGGAATTGAGACCCAATTTTGGAACACAAAGGTGGTTTGCTTGACTTTATTACTAAGAGAGGATGAGATTTGTGAGAGGTAGGTGAACTCTGTAACTCTTGATTTTTTTTTTTCTTTGGCCTACAGGGTGATTTCACCTGGAACAGCATGTCAGGCCGCAGTGTACGGCTGAGGTCAGTCCCCATCCAGAGTCTCTCAGAGCTGGAGAGGGCCCGGCTGCAGGAAGTGGCTTTTTATCAGTTGCAACAGGACTGTGACCTGAGCTGCCAGATCACCATTCCCAAAGGTAAGGCCTCGTCTGCCTTTCTGCCAGGGAACACTGCAAGTCAAATATTGGCTCTGCCAAAGCCATGAGCTGTGAACTCTTCTCACACCTAATATTCACACAGGAAGGAAACTAAAGCTTCTTGGTTGTTGGCTGGCATTAGTGTCCATTTGAAGGACATGTTCAAGAGGGACAATTTGCATGTCAGCTAATATGTTTATTTAAAGGGAAGGTCAACTTGGAGCATTACAAAGGAAAGCTGTATGTATATCAACAGTCTATATGGATTCAGAACAACCAATTAAAAATAATTTTCAGAAAGGTCATCTTAAAGGGTCAGAAGAATAGCTGTGAATACCTCAGTCTGGTTTTAAAATAACTCATTTGAAAAGAATGCCATAACACTCGGTTAAACTTGTCATTTGACCCTATGCCAACTTGGAATCAGGGATTTTACCGAAGTTAACTCCTTTTTAGCCAGTTTTTCAGCTGGTGTGTTCTATGTTGCACTGGAGCCAGTGCACACCTGATTGGCTGATGTTTGTTTTTTAAACAGATCCTGATTCCACTAAAGATGAGACACATGTACTTGAATTCCTTGAATCCATAAAACTTTGTCTCTGTATGTTTACTATTGTCTATAAAGGCACTTTTTTTTGGGGGGGGGGGGATGGAGTCTCACTCTGTTGCCAGGCTGGAGTGTAGTGGCACGACCTCGGCTCACTGCAACCTCCACCTCCTGGGTTCAAGTGATTCTCCTACCTCAGCCTCCCGAGTAGCTGGAATTACAGGGGTGCACACCACCACGCCCAGCTAATTTTTGTATTTTTAGTAGAGATGGGCTTTCACTCATGTTGGCCAGGATAGTCTCAATCCCTTGACCTTGTGATCCACCTGCCTCAGCCTCCCAAAGTGCTGTGTTGGGATTACAGGCATGAGCCACTGCGCCTGGCCTATAAAGGCCCTTTTTAATTTGTATTAGTTTGTAGCAGACAGCTACTTTGAGACAGAATGAAAAACTATGATATTATACACATAGAGTAAATCTGCTATGAAGAACAACATTGGGCAGTGTGCCCGAAACTTAAAGGACAGCAGAAGAGGGATAGGAAGCTTCTAGAAGCTAGAATATTTCCACAGAGGATTTTGGTATCTGCAAAACTTCTCTTATACTTTGTTTTCTTTTGGAGGAGGTTGAGGGGATGCTTCATGAACATTTATTCATAAATAGTTCATATATATGTATATACACACACACAACATATGTGCATATATACGTATACACATATACACACAAATATGTGGTTCTCAAGCAGGATTGATTTTGCCCCCCATGCCCTGGGGACATCTGGCAATGTCTGGATTTATTTTTGGTTGTCGCAGCTTAGGGGATGGATGCTCCTAGCATCTAGTGGGAAAAGCCTGAGGATGCTGCCCAACACCCTATAATAAATAGGACAGCCCCCTGCAACAAAAATTATCAGGCCCCATGTGCTGAAGTTGACCTCCCTTGCTGTACACACATATGTTCACATTCTGTCACCCACAGTGCCAGTGGTGGAGGTCTCTTGGCTCAGCTGTGGCTAACAGAAAGAATGCTGGCTTGGAGGTATAAAGACTAGGACTTGTGAACTCATCCTGTCACTCCTCACATGTGTGAACTTGGGCAACTTGCCTCTGCAGTAGGAGGCTCAGTTCTTTGACCAGAAAGAGTAGCACAAAAATGCTGACAGAGTTTTTCTTTGGATAGTGAGTCTTAGGGCCATGTTTTTTCTTGAAGCAGGAACCTGAGACTCCATTGGAGGTCATGACAGAGTTCAGGAGAGAGAGATAGGCAAGGCCAATGGGCTGACAAGACATGCATATTTTACTGGCATATGCCTTGCACCTTTGGCTTTCTTGTCACACTTTGTTCACTAGCACAACCACAGCATGTTCTTTCCAAGAGGAAATCCCCACCCTGTTTTATTTTTTCATGCTAATCTCACACATAGAGACCCTCAGCTCAAATAAGAAGAAAATCACTTAGGCAATTGTGAAAAATGAATACTAGTGACTGTCAGGCCATGTCGCTCTTCTCCTTAAGAAAGGCCCTCCTGCCTTACCTGGTATTGGTTTGGTTGTAGGGTGGAGATGAGGCCTGTTCTCCCTCCAACTTAACTCACAAAGTGACCCATGCGGGGCCCGGGCCAAGAGTTTTGTCTCCCTTTAATGAGCACAGACATTCTTTTCATTCCTCAGGGGAAAAAAATGGCAATATTGTTAGCAAACTTAATTTGTAGTGAAGGGAATGATGACTTTGAAAATTTTTTGAAACTTGGATTGAATGCGCATCAGATAAGATATCAGGGAACAGATGTTCTCTGTGGCTTTGTTTTTAAATCCAGTTGATTTTTCTCTTTGTTCCTGCTTTTTAGAGAGTCCACTAAACAAATAACCTTTACCAAAAACAGTTTTATAAAACTTGTCTACTAGAAGCTTTGTCTCCATTGATTATTTCTGAGGCTGTGTGGTTATCCGCACATCCAGGGAAAGATTTGTGCTATCGAAATGTTTGAAGATATTCCTAGGCCACAGCAGTCATTTTCATATTTTCTATCAAAATAGGAACTAATGATTTACAAATAATTTTCTCACTTATAGATGAGAAGGAAATTGTGTGGCTGGTGAAAGAAACAGACATCACCTGAGGGTTTCTGAAGCTACTGAATTGGGTATATGAATATAGACATCAAATATTTACTGAGATCCTTGGAATGTGTGGCTGGTGGCAAGCTCTATGACAGTAGCTTTGGTCTAAATTTGGCCACTTGGTCCCCATGCAAATCTTCTAATGGAGGTTCTAAACAGGATCAGATTCACTGTGTGAATAACTTTCACAGGAAGATAAATACTGTAGCCAGGACCTAACGCCTAAAGAAATGATGTCAAGCCTAATAGGATATAATGAAAATCATGATACAATGAAAATGGACACATAGTCAAGCTCACATTTCTGTTCTCTGTCACATTAGGATGATCACAGGGATTTATTTGTGGTTATCTATTTGCAGAACCCTCTCCTGTGAGTCTGGTGCTTCCAGGGTTCAAATGAATGCTATTATAACATAATCATCAGCTGCCAGAATTTACCATAGAGAGGAAAGAAATGAGGATGGGGAAGTTGGGAAATTACTGGGTGATTTCCTAGAGTGGACCACAGGGGTGGGATCCAGAGTACAAGTGGAGGGTTTGACCTTCTTTTACACTATAATGATAGATGGACATTCGTTATATGGACACTGATGCAAGTGAGTTAGAAGATGGTGGGAGTGCACGTGGGATTTTACTCCAGATTGCTTCTCAGCATCCAACAAAATAGGAAGCAATTTAATCCACTAGGAGTGAGGATGGAGAAGAGGTCCTGGAGGTTTGAGGAAAGAGGAGAGGAGTGGAAGACAGGGCAGCTAACGAGCCAGCAATGTCACAGGATTGCAGGACAGGCCAGAAGGTCCATTTGAGGTTAGTAACTGGGAATTTTAAATGAAAAATAAACATCCTGGTAGCTAAACACTGTTAAGCTAAATACATCATTTTGGACTTTTAATTCCCCAGCCTTAGTTAATCCAAATATCCTCTTTTGAGTTAGGATTTTTCTAGTTCAATTCAATGAAGGTGAAGAGAGACATGGCAGTTGAGAATATATCTGTAGTAGGCAAAATAATGGACCCCCAAAGATGGCCACATCCTCATCCCTGGAACTTGTGAAGATGACACCTCACAGGCCAAAAGAAACTTTGCCAATGTGATGAGTTAAGGTCCTTGAGATAAGGAGATTATCCTGGATTGTCTAGGCGGGCTCAAACTAATCACATGGGTACTTTAAAGTGCAGAAACTCTCCCAACTGTAATCAGGGAGAGATGTGACTATGGAAGTATGGTCAGAGAGATGCAATGTTGCCAGCTTCAAAGATGGAGAAAGGGGCCATAAGCCAAGGAATGCAGATGGCCTCTAAAAGCTAGAAAAGTCAAAGGGACAAATTCTTCCCAAGGGGCCTCCAGAAAGGAACAAAGCTCTGCTGACACCTTAATCTTAGCCCAGCAAGACCCATTTCAGACTTCTGGCCTCCAGAACTATAAGATGATAAATTTGAGTTGTTTAAGACACTAAGTCTCTGGTCATTAGTTATAACAGCACTAGGATGCTAATACAGTATCCAAGGGAATGATTCTAATCCCACAACACAGAGCCTAAATTGGATAACAAAGGAAATTAGGAAGAAATACGATAATATAAAGATGTCAATTATGTCATTAATTATCTATAAGCTGAATGTGATTACAAAATAAAGTACCAACAGAATTTTTCTTTTTGATAATTTTACTAAATTAATCTAAACATCTGGTAAAATAATTAAGTGAAGGTAGTCAGGGGAAATCTGATAAAGAGATAAAATGGAGATTAACCCTGTCCATTTATTCAAATGTGTCACAAAACTGAAGAATTAAAAATGAACCAAAATATATATGAAAATTTATTACATGATAAATAAGGTATTTTTTGTAAAGGGAAAAAGATAGGTTATTATTGTATTTGAGATAGTGAGACAATCATCATTAAGAAAATAATAAATTGATATGGAAGAAAGATTTGAAGATTAAAAAATGAAACTATAAATGATGCACCAGAAGAAAACATAGGTGGATATATATTTTTTTACACTAGGGAAGGCCTACCCAGAAAACATAAAGAGAGGAACAAGTTTCACTACATTTGAAAAAACAGAATCATCTCTGACAGATAAGCAAATAAATAAACTTTATAGCACATTTGACAAACTAAAGGCTTACTTCTCTACTACATAAAACTTAATTACAAATTAATATAAAAAGAAAATCTAAAATATAGACAAATTACAGGTGGCTCACAGAAAAATACAAGTGGTATAAATAGATTTGAAAAGATGCTCACCCTCACATTCATTAAATAAATGCAAGCTAAAAACCAAGGAGATTTTTTTTCTCTCAGAATGGCATGGCTC